TTTTCCATAATGTAACTTTATAGGCCAAATGATAGGTTATTTAACTTTTTTTTTCTTTTGAGATAGGGTCTCACTCTGTCACCCAGACTGGAGTACAGTGTCACGATCTCAGCTTACTGCATCTTTGACCTCCCAGGCTCAGGTGATCCTCCACTTCAGCCTCCCAAGTAATTGGGACCACAGGTGCACACCACTACACCCAGCTAACTTTTTTGTATTTTTTGTAGAGATGGGGTTTCTCTGCATTCCCAGGCTGGTCTCAAACAACTGGGCTCAAGCAATCCACCCACCTCTGCCTCCCAAAGTGCTGGGATTACAGGCATGAGCCACCATACCTAGCTGCATTAACTCATAATAAAATTGATGATAATGATCGTTTATATGTAACTAGAAGCTTTCCCTTACTTACGTTCAAAGATGAGCTAATTGAACTTTCTCTGTGCATACTTCCTTCACTTCGCTTTCCACATGACAAGATTTCTAAGTCTGTCTCTGAAATATAAACTGGAAAGCATTCACTTCACAAAGAGTGGTCTTCTTTTCTTGAAAGCTTCAAACTTGTTCGTATCCTTAGGGTCTTTCTAATTTGTTATTTCCTCTGTCTGGAATACTCTTCCTCCAGAAATTCAAATGGCTTGTTTCTTCCTTTTAGTAAGGTCTCAGCAGATAACATTTTTTCCGCCATTCCCTGTCCTATTTCATGTCATCACAACACATCACTCCTTTCATCTTTGTGGGATTTTTTTTGTGTGTTTTTTGTTTGTTTGTTTCTGGTTTTTTTTTTTTTTTTTTTTTGGAGATGGAGTTTTGCTCTTGTTGCCCAGGCTGGAGTGCACTGGCACGATCTCAGCTCACTGCAACCTCTGCCTCCCAGGTTCAAGCGATTCTCCTGCCTCAGCCTCCCAAGTAGCTGGGATTACAGGCATGTGCCACCATGGCCCACTAATTTTGTATTTTTAGTAGAGACAGGGTTTCTACATGTTGATCAAGTTGGTCTCGAACTCCCGACCTCAGGTGATCCTCCTGCCTCGGCCTGCCAAAGTGCTTGGATTACAGGCATGAGCCACCGCACCTGGCTGTATTTTTATATTGAAAGTTTGCCATGCTAGACCTGAAGTTTTATGATATCAGGGACATTCACTTCCTTTTCCCTACTCTATTTCCAGCAGCTAGGAAAATCCTTGGAATAGAGTTAGGTACATAATATTTGAAGAAATTTGTGAGTTTTTTGACTGCCTCTTAATGATGTTGTAGATACAGTGAATAAAACAGGCATGAATCCTGTCTCCAGATTCTATATTTTCTATAGTCCTGTTTAATTGTGAGCCTAAATAAATCTGAAGTGATTTAAAACTCATAAATTGGTTATATTTATTTGCTTTAATGTATTTGTCATTTGTCTTTAGGTATATGTCTTATTCCTATATAAAACAGACATTAATGTAATTATTTAATCTATTAGACCTACAAGAATCTTCAAAATTATGATTCAGCTCTTCATTTGACTGACAAACTGACATAGATTTTTAGAAATTAAGTGAAATTTCCTCAAATCACATGCTTAAAGACAGGGCTGGTTGTTTTTTGTTTGCTTGCTTGTTGTTTTGTGTCGGGGGGGGTGGGGAGGTTTTTTTTTTTGAGACAGAGTCTCGTTCTGTCGCCCAGGCTGGAGTGCAGTGGTGCAATCTCAGCTCTCTGCAAGCTCTGCCTCCTAGGTTCACGCCATTCTCCTGCCTCAGCCTCCCAGGTAGCTGGGACTACAGGCACCTGCCACCACACCCAACTAATTTTGGTTTTGTATTTTTAGTAGAGATGGGGTTTCACCATGTTAGCCAGGATGGTCTCAATCTCCTGACGTCGTGATCTGCCCACCTCAGCCTCCCAAAGTGCTGGGCATGAGCCACCGCGCCTGGCCAGCAGGGCTGGTATTTTAAGCCAGCCTTCTAACTTTAAATTCAGTAATTTTTTTTTTTTTTGGTAGCTGCTAAATGATTTGAAAATAAAATATTTTAAAATCCTCTTCATTTGAATAAACTTTTTGCCACCTAGTTTCTCTGTAGCAAAGTGTCATCTATTTGTTCAGTAAGTTATTGTACATAAATTGCCTTCTGGTGGTTTAAAGGATTTTATTACAACTACCTTTTTCTTTGGTTTGAATTTGTAATTTTAATTATGAAATGTGTCCAACATACAGAAAAATGTAGAGTCATATAAAAGAGTTATGTGTACCCATCACAGAGAATAAATAAGTGTTAACATTTAAGGAAAAAAAGAAAAAGGCATGAACTCTGACCTTCTGTTATTTGTCCTTTTATCATCAAATATGTTAGCAAGCGTGGCATATAGTAGGCACCCACGATAAATGTTAAACTATTTAAGAATCTGTAACTGGCAGTTACATATGTCTGATTCAGAATGAGAAAATGAATTACCATTCTTTGTATTCACAGATATTTATGAGTGACATGCAGTTAGTTGTACAATCAATCTCCATACCATGTGTTCCACATACTTGGGTTTAGCCAACCCCTATCAAAAATATTCAAAAAATAAAAAATAATGACATTAAAAATAAAAGTTTTTAGAAATGCAGTATAACAGCTATTTACATAACATTTACATTGTATTCAGTATTAAAGGTTGAGTATCCCTAATCCAAAAAACCAAAATCCAAAATGCTCAAAAATCTGAAATTTTATGAGCACTGACGTGACACAAAGTAAATGCTTATTGGAACATTTCAGATTTTAAATGTTAGGATTAGGGATGCTAAATCAGTAAATATAATGCAGATATTCCAAAATGTTTTTTAAAAATCCAAAACACTTATGGTCCCAAGCATTTTAGATAAAAGTTACTCAAGAGTATGAGAGTATGTGCTTACATTATATGCAAATACAGTCGTACCAGTCCTGAGGTGAGTATTCATGGGGAATTGATAACAGGACCCAGAGGATACCAAAATACACAGATGCTCAAATTCTTTATGTAAAATAGTATAGTGTTTGTATATAATCTGTGCACATCCTCCCAAATATTTTAAATCATCTCTATACTAATAATTACACAATGTAAGAGCTGTGTAAATAGTTGTTAGACAAGAAATAAAAAGTCTGTACATGTTTAGACCATCAATTTTTTCCCAAATATTTTCAGTCCCAGGTTGGTTGAATCCACATACATGGAGCCCATGGATACAGATCAAATGCACTGTTACACAATACCATTTTATATAGGGGATTTGAGCACCCTCTGGTTCTGGTATTTGTGGGAGGGTCCTGGAACCAATCCTGCACAGATACTGAGGGACAACTATATGCTTTTCTTTAAAATTCTGAAAAGCCTTGGCTCTAGCTAATGCTAGTTGGTTTCTATGAAGGCCATAATTTGTAATTTTGCTGAGGCTCACATTCAATCCATCCGTCCATTTTCTGTATAAGCACTAGTGAAAGTCACTTAGCCAGTTGGCTCTACATCCAAATCTCAATAACCTTGTGCTCTAATCTCTCACATATTGCATCTTGACTGCACTGTGCCAAGAAGTATTCACTAATGTAAGGCTTCAAGTTGGTTGGTGGTTTTTACCTCTAAAACCTCTAAAAGTTTTACCTCTAAAAACATTCAAGGTCAAGTAAATTATTTAGTGAACTGTCTTAAATGACATTGTCATTAAGGTATGTTTGTGCATGTGTCCAGCACATGTATTGGGACTGACTGTGTGACAGACATTGTGCCAGGTCCTGCACTGACCCAGGAAGCTCACAACTTTGAGTGATACATGTCAATAATAAATGTATGTATCTTCTGTTACTTAGCAGAAAAGAGGAAGCCTTAACAGCTTGCAGAAGTCATAGCAGTGAGGGAAGGAATGCTCTACAGAAGATGACAGATGAATGATGTTATTAATACCTGGTATATAGGCACAGAGATATTATGGTTTTTGTCATGTTTGGGGCACTACAAATCACTGGACTACACGCTGGATGCAGTTGAGAGAATAGTTCAGATGAGGCTGAAAACTAAGGCAAGGATTTTTTTAATAGTCAAAGCTTCAAAATTATTTTAAGCAAAAATATGTATGTGAAACAAGTTTTTTTTGAGAAATTGCAGTATTTTCTTTAGAAATATACAGTTGAATATATTTAAGTACTGTAAACTGTGTTTCCAAAAAGTCAGCTATTGTGAAATTGACTGGGCACAGTGGCTCACGCGCCTGTAATCCCAGCACTTTGGGAGGCCAAGGCGGGTGGATCTGCAGAGTTCAGGAGTTGGAGACCAGCCTGGCCAACATGGTGAAACCCCATGTCTACTAAAAATACAAAACTTAGCCGGGCGTCATGGCAGGCGCCTGTAATCCCAGCTACTCACCAGGCCGAGGTAGGAGAATGGCTTCAACACAGGAAGCAGAGGTCGCAGTGAGCCAAGATGGTGCCACTGCACTCCAGCCTCGGCGACAGGGCGACCAGAAAAAGAAAAGTCACTCAAAAAAAGTGATTCATTGTGAATAAATGTACAAAACGCTTATTAGTAAGTGTAATGTTAAAATGTATCCTTTCTGAAAGTTTTAGTGACAAAACAAATTGGTTACAGATTTAATGTTACCAAAATTCATGATACATTTAAGATTCCGGGACATTTTATAGTGGTGGTGGTGGGGTGGCATCTTAGCTTGGGTTTAAATATCATTAGTAATTGGATAGATCTGTAGATGATTATCAGTATATGAAGACACATCGTGCGCAGCATTTAGTAAGAATACTTGAAGTGAGTTTTTGCAGGGGGATGAATTTTTTTTAAAAACAAAAGTTTATACGTGCCTCTTCTCTCTTCCAAAGAAAAAGAAAACAACGAGAGACGAAGGTGGATAACGCCTTTCTCTAGACCGCGGTGCCTCGCATTTCTCGGGCTGCGGGCGAGGGTTGCTGGGCCTGCGCGGGTTAGAGGCGACGCTGACGCGCCCTGCGCCGCAAGGCATTGTGGGAGCTCGGGCCCGCTAGTGCTGTAGTTGGAGGCAAGGGGGGGTGGCCGTTTGTTTTCTCGTGGTCTCGAGCTCGCGCGCTCTCTTCCCCTCCCCCGCGGCGTGCAGCGGGGCGGAGAAACGGCGGTGGCGGCGGCAACGGCAGCAGAAGCAGAGGCTGTAGCATCGGACACCCTCCTCTCTCCCGCGAACCGGTTCCTCTTCCCCCTCCTTCTCACTGTTTGTTGTGTGTTTGATGTGTTAAAGCAGGAGCGAGAACCCGAGCAGCGCCATGAGCAACACTACCGTCGTCCCCAGCACTGCAGGTCCGGGCCCCAGCGGCGGGCCCGGTGGCGGAGGTGGTGGCGGCGGAGGCGGCGGCACCGAGGTAATCCAGGTGACTAATGTCTCCCCGAGCGCTAGCTCTGAGCAGATGCGGACTCTCTTCGGTTTCCTAGGCAAGATCGACGAACTGCGCCTCTTCCCGCCGGAGTGAGTATCGTCCACCATCACTGTTCCTGCTAACGCCGCCTCAGCCTAGGCCTAACACACACATAATTTCCTTAGGCCTCTGTCGCTGCTTCGCCGGGCCAGGCTGCTTGAGCGGCTGGTGGCTGTTGCATTTACTTAAGACGGTTGTGTTCCAGGCCTACAAAAAAATGTAGAGAGGCAGGGCCAGGGCATTTTGGGATTAGGAAACTCTGACTCTTATTCCCGGGAATTTTTTTTTTTTCTGCCTTAAATTGTGCCAACGTGGTCGTTTGGCTTTGCGGGCTTAACACAAGACTAACTGCACTCTGTACGCGTATATAGGTTAAATCCCCTTTTAAAAAAACTGAGTGTTTTTTCTTTGCGTTCTTGGAAGAAAGAAAACAAAATTATTCATGCCTGTGTTAATTTAGTGTTGAACTTTGTAGGTTGTTGGTCACTTACTGCTCTTCCTGTTACGTGGTTCTGGCCCAGCAATATAATTCAAAGATCTTACTCTTTTTGACAGACGCTTACTTTAGTGACCTGATTACTTAATTTTTATAATGTCAAAAAACGGGTTATATCTGAAACCAGAGATTTTCCTTTGTTTGAATAATACACAGATTTGTGATATTTCAGTTGTTCTTGAGAAGAATTTTTATAAATGTTGAAATGTGAATTAGAGTGTATGACTTTTTATCCTTTCGTTTCACTTTTATTTTGAAAATTATTTCTATCGCAAGAATATTAAATGGATTAATTGTAAAGAAAAAATAGTTAAGCTATGAAGTAAGATAAGGTGTACTTTTAAAACAGACAATTGGAATAAAAATAATAGTCTTGTGCTTTTTGGAAGACTTATTGGCGGAGAAGTGACAATTCAAGTGTCATTGTCAGTAAACACCATATATTGAGAATTTTATGATGTCACTTAAATACTAAACAGGAAATTGGAATTCTCTAAGAATCTACTGTTATGGTACAGGTAATCTTTAACTTTCTGCTCAATAAAATAATTGACAAAAGTTTATCATAATGAGATATTTGTTAAGTATTAAGATATTTCATCACTTTACACTTAAAATACTTTCAAAGATTATTGGTGTTTTCAAATTGGTATGTTGCTAATTTTTAGGGAAATATACATGTGGAGAGAGGATTTACTTAGTATAGCATGCCGTGGAGTTCTGGGAACAAACACATATGTTTTTATTCCTGTTGTTTTGATAGATACTTGATTTGGTAATGAAGGACAAATAGCTTTCATAATATGAACATACAAAAATAGATGCTGTTCAGTTTTCTCAAGACTTACTGTTTTAAGCTTGTAAAATTAATAAACAGTAAAATAGCAGAAAATACTGATACATTGGATGATTTTAATCGTTTTATTAGTGGGATATTTGAAGTATTCGATTTATGACAATTCTTTCCAATCCTACAAGAATTTTATTATAGTTGCTGACTTTTAAATGCTGTTTATTCTCTGAAGCCAGTTTTATGATGCATTTAGAAAAAAGATGAGAGAGATGTAGGCATTATACTGGTTCATCTTTTACCTAATGCATGACCAGTATCTTAGAGGAAGTTGTGATGGACCAGAGTCTTTCTGTTTTGTAATCAAACGAGTAGTTCCTTCATAACCAGGACAGCTAGTGTGTGCTTGAGAATTTCTCCCTCAACTATATGATCTGGATACTCTGCATTAAAATGACTCCTTTCCCCGTATTGAGAGAAAGAGAGATAAATTGACACATTTTTACTCTGACTCCTTCATTTATCTTTCCACATACAAGATCATTTTGTCTTTTAAAATGTAGGAGGTTACAATAAGTTAAATGTTACTAGTGGCATTCTACATTTGATCAGTAATGTAGATGGCTACTTTTATTTACTTGATGTTGCATTTTGGTTTTTTTTAACTATAAGTTTCAATAAACTAATCTGACTTGCACAAGCTGCATATACTTTGTTGGTAGTTTCTATCAACTTAGTAGAGCTTTCAACAGTAAACTTGCCAGGGATAATGTGCTGTGGATTCCCAGTGGTCCACAGGGTTCATCATTCCAAAAATATTTACTCGTAACATTGAATGGCTCAGATTACATAAAATTCTGTCTGTTGTGAACAGGTCACCTGATTGTAACTAGTATCGATACACAGTTGGCCTTCTTCATCTCTGGGTTCCACATCCATGGATTCAGCCCACTGTGAATTGAAAATAGGAGAGAGCGTCTGTACTGAACATGTACAGACTTTTTTCTTGTCGTCACTCCCTGAACAGTACAACTATTTACATTGTATTAGGTACTATAAGTAATCAAGAGATTTGAAGTATACAAGAGGATGTGTACAGGTAATACGCCATGATTTTATTTTTCCTCCACATCTTCCCCCTCCCTACATCATTTTATATAAGAGACTTGAGCATCTGGAATTTGTTATCTGCAGGGAGTCCTGAAACCATGGATACTGAGGGAAAACTGTGATTTCCCCCAAGAAGGCGGTGACATGCACCTGTAACTCTTTTTCCCCTAGACATATCTGTGACATGCTTAACTACTTTTGTTTTTCCAATGTCACTTTAATCAGAGAAACCTTCCCAGACCACCCTGTGTAAAATAAAGCACCTCTGCTGCTGCTTTATTCTACTTAACACTACTTTTTTTCTGTAACACCTGTCACCAGTTGACAGGTTAAGTTTAACAACTTCTCTCCTGTAGAATATGAGGTGCTTTAAAATACATATATGACTAAACCTCACCCACACCTACTGAAACTCTTCATTTTGGTTCTGAATGCCTATTTTGGGGAAACATTTCCAGGATTATGACAGACATTTCAGTGACAACCTGCTCAAGGTGGTTTCCTGCATTGTCATTGTTAAATCCATCTATTCCTTCTTTTAAACCAGAATTTCTGGCCTATAATTTCACTGAGAAATAAAGATACTATCTTTACAATAGGGGATATTCTAACCCTCTCTACAGCATGATGGCTCTGCAGCTATTTGAAAGCATCTGTCAGTGTACCTCACATATACTCTTGTTAAACTGTTTTGCTTCTGGTTGTTTCTGAAATGTGTATTGGAAATGCAGCATTGTTTGAATGTCTATTGTGAGTTAGTTGCTTTCTAAATTTATCTTAATCCTTACAAACCCAGAGGAAAAAATGTTTTTGACCCTGTTTTACAAGTTCGTGAACTGAAATTTACATAGGTATTTTTTGTGTGCCCAGGCCATACTGCCAGTGTCAGAACTAGACCTCGAACCCAAGTTGTGACTCTCCTTTACCACTTGATCAGGAGTTTGTTGATTTAGCCAAGTAACTTGTAAGATCTTCACATGCTTTCTTTTAGTGGGATTGCCCAGCAAAGTGCTTATCAGGTATCAGGTAATGATCCCAGTGAAGTATGTCACAGCTATGCAGTAACTTAAGGCTGCTGTAATACCAAGATAAATTGAAGTTCATTAGTAACTTTTCAGTGACCCAAAATGGATACTTTAATGGTCATATAAGTATAAATTAGTATATTAGGTAAGGGAAAGAGTTTAGTGCATCTTTAAAGAAAAAATGGTTTTAATAAATGCACCATTTTACTGTATATTTCTTTATGTAGTGAGGAGGGGGCACATGAGGTCAACAGTCAAGTTTTCAGGTTAATGTCCTCTTTGTCACACACCTCCTTTTGTGGGTTTTGGAGATACTTTCATTTATGAGCTCAAAATTCTCCACTTAGCACACTATTAAGGTGAAAGTTGAAAGGCTGATATCAGTGGCCTAAACCTGAAATTCTGGTACGTTAGTAGGCATGAATACCATGTTAAGAATCTGGGCCTTCATATAAGAAAGATTCTCTACAGACCTTAGGTGAACAACAGAAATCTCGGTTTTTTGTGTGTAGCCTAGAAGATTCTGAAATAGCCCTCAGAGGACACGTAAGAACCGTTAAAAACTGTACAGCCAGTCTTGGAGGACAGAAGTGGCATGCAGGACTCACTTTACCGATCTTGTTCCTCATTTCTCCCTACTTTATGTTAATTTTTAAGAGATACAGAGTAAAATACATGTCATATTTGGAAGCAGTACTTCCACAGAATTTTAGAGCACAAAAATTAATTTCAGGCATCAGTCCTCTATCTTATATTATCTTATTAAGATAAATTTTATTAGGAGGCTGAGGCAGGTGGATCACATGAGGTCAGGAGTTCAAGACTAGCCTGACTAAATGATGAAACCACGTCTCTGCTAAAAATAACAAAAATTAGCCGGACGTGGTGGCGCATGCGTGTCATCCCAGCTACTTGGGAGGCTGAGGCAGGAGAATTGCTCGAACCTGGGAGGCAGAGGTTGCGGTGAGCCGAGATTGTGCCATTGCACTCCAGCTTGGGCTACAAGAGTGAAACTCCATCTCAAAAAAAAAAAAAAAAAAGACAAATTTTAATCAAAAAAAAAAATGTAAGAATGTAATTCTGGGCCCAGATACTAACAAAAACTTGTTTTAAACCCATCTAAAGGAGGCCATTTGAAGTGGAGAGAGATGAAATTATATTTTCCTTTCTGAATTACTATCTTATTCACAGTATTCAAATTCATATTTAGTCTGTACCGTACCATCTCTTAACAGGTTTTGATATAGCCAAAATAATTGGAGCATTCCTATGATATTAATGGGTAGGAAAAAAAAATATGAGTCCTTTTAAGGTTGCCAAGTATAAAGAATACAATTTGAGCACGGGGGCAGTATTTTTTTTCCTAAGGAACTGTTCATTAAAAATACTGTATTTGGAGTCATTTCTTTTCATAAGATAACAAAAAGTGTTGAAGAATTGGTAGAGGCTAGTTTTTAAGAAGTGTTAAGTGCCCGCTATTTCCCAACACTATTGTGTTGGGTGTTAAGATTGGAGATGATAGCATTAAAAGAGCTTTGTAATTTAGTGATGGAAACATGGATGTCAACAAAGAAATGTGAAGTGCCATAGCTTACTAAACCTGCTAAAGTACTTGACAGTGAGGCACACCTGCAGCCCCATCTATTTTGGAAGCTGGAGTGGGAGGCTGGTCAACATAGTAAGACCCCTCCTATTTCTTTAAGGAGAAATTGCTAAAACATTCTTTTTGCTACTGCATTGTTAAATTTTATACCAGCAGTGTTTCACATCTAAAAACCACTGTATTCTTTAAGAAACATTCAACAGTGAGCCTATATAACAAGGTAGCTTAACTTGCTTGTGGATACCCTGTTAATTTTGCTTTGATCTTGGGTTAGGGTCTGTGCTTAGCCTGGGAGATCCTTGTAGGGAAACTTGTATCAGAAGTTGTAATGGGTTTGAGTTCTCAGGCCATGTATAGCATCATGTTGTTAGTGTTTGAGTTGTGATAAAAATTGTGGGGTTTTTTGTTAGGCCTAAATAAATTATTTTTCTTTTCAACAATGAATCTGAAATTCTTAGTATAACCAAATCTGATGCAATTACAATTTTATGTACACGTGAGTGTGTTTCATTTGTTAGAAACTGAAGCCTCATTCAGATAGTGTTAAAATAGGATTTTCCTTTTCATTAATGAGTCCTATGATGTGTTATATTAACGTTACAATGAAGTAGTTTTGCATCCCAGGTGCATAAAATTGTCAGAGAGAATTAAAGGAGAAAGAGCTCAAACTTCATCAGAGATCGTGATTTAATTGATGTGGATGGAAGAGTGTGAATTACCCCCAACTCCCCCCCCATAACTCTAATACACATTAGAGTGTATTAACTAGGGATGGTGTGTTTATTTCTGCCTTAGGGCACTAGCTTTCCAAATAACTTTTGGTATGGGCTTGAGCCATACCTGCATTCTTGCACAGAGTTTCAAGGCAGAAATTTGAACTACCCTGTAACTTAACAGTTGAAAAAAACCCTGCTTCCTTTGTTACCTATCTTACCTACACTGCCATAGCTTGCAGTTTAGCACTTGTCTTTCTTTACCTAAGGAAGTAATTTGCTGAGGGAACTGGCCCTTTTGCTTATTGAAACTTTACAAGGTAGCACTAGTGGAACATAGTACTACTTCCATGTGTACCTAAATTTTTTCTTTTATCTGAAAGTGCTCCAAGCCAGAAATCCTTGATTATTTATAGTGCGTAAGAGTTCTTATATGCTGTGGGTAAAAGAGCGCAGGGCATGGGACCTGTTTATTATGCAGTTCAAGAAAACTCATTGATTGTTGAGTACATGTTCTTTCTCCTGATATTCTTTTGTCCGTGACGTAAAAATTGTTCATCTTTCTTACTCTGAGAAAGCCATAAGGAAGTTTCTAAACCCAAACTACTGTTACCTGTATCTAAAAATAGCTGGTATTAGTATTATGAAAGAAACTGCTGACAATTTTGTGGTCCCCTCAGTCTCTGAGACTTTAGTACCAAACTGTTTTTAACCTGATACCCTGTAAATATAAGTTGTGATTGTAAGTTTTTATCTGAACTGCAATTCACTACATTATGTCAATGAAGAGTATATTATTGAAAGTGTTTTCTTTTGAATTTAACTACGTTAGTATACAGTTAGGTTTTTTTTTTAATCTGTTTTACTTTTGAAATGTGTTGGTTTGTGAATTAGCATTTGTTTTAACTGATACTCTGTTTCTCTTTTATGTTGTTTATTTTTTAGTGATTCACCTTTGCCAGTCTCATCTCGTGTCTGCTTTGTTAAGTTCCATGATCCAGACTCAGCAGTTGTGGCACAGCATCTGACAAATACTGTATTCGTTGACAGAGCTTTGATAGTCGTACCATATGCAGAAGGTTTGTGCTTTGTTTAACTACCTATGTGGGCATCCTAAGATGACCATCTACCTCAGTAAATATAGAGTGAGCATTAGTAGCATGTTAAATCTAAGCTATTAACATTTTTAAACCCTTGTTATACTGCAGTCCGTAATTTTTGCTTGCAGATTTTTTTAATTCTAAAAATGAGAAATTAAGTCTGTTATTATAAGATATTTACCTTTTGTTTTCTTTTAAAACATTTTTAAGTTGTTTAAAACCATGTCCCTTATTGTAACTCCCTGAGATACATCTACTTAGTTAATTTAATGTTGAGTTTTATGAAAAAGCCCTGAAAGTAAATGATTCACTCCATGTATGCTTACAGAGCCTTCAAATAAATGCATGATGTTATTTCTGTTTTAAATAAATGAGTAGGTTGATTTTATTTTCTTAAAGTTTCCTCACATTGATAATCAGGAAAAAAAAAAAAAACACATTGAATTTCAGTATACCAAGGGTTACAATGATTTTGGTTTTTGTGAAAGTTCAAGATTTCCTGTAGCTTAGGTGCCAAATGGGCACTGGGTGTTTTATTTATGCCAGATTTTCTTGTTCATTCTTGCTATATTTCTAGAATATCTCTAAATAATAAATTCTTCTCTCTGTTATTTGTGTGTGTGATTTTTGTAGTGGAGAAGGCAAATGCAAAACCCTTCCAGATGCCTGAAAAACAGTGGGTCCTCTGCAGCTACAGGGGATTCTAGACATTAACTAAAGGCCAGCAAGCACTCAAGTGCCCCAAGTGTTTTCCTGGTGTAACCATTTGTTAACTACATTTTCTCTCTTTTTACATTTTAGGCTGTTAAAGTAATTTGACAGAAAAAAAATGAGCAGGTTTTTTGGATCTAAAAAGCCACTGTGACAAGAAATTTTAATACCATTTTGTAAAATTTTCTAAGGCGTATTTCATAATTAGTTTGTTCCCAATGTACTGCTGCTTGATTTGCTTTTTGGTAACTATAAATTTTACTCGAATCATTGAAATATGATGAAACTGCTGGATTTTAAGTTAATAATTTAATATGCTGACCAGGATTTAAATGCTTTCCCCTTTCCTTAATAAACTGGTCAGTGGAAGGTGGAATCTTAATAATGCTATCTGAAATCTTTGAATACAAATGTGAACATTTACACCATACTTTGTAAAAGTTGTGAAATGTCTAGTCCTTAACACTTAGAGAAATTGCCTCTGGTTTTTTAAAGAAATTATATTTGTAAATGGGTTAAGGCATGTTATGTAATACTACCTCTGTCTCCATGATATTAAAGTGTATCAGCCAAGTTTTAAGGTTTTATAATATATAGATAGATAAATTTTTGAGTTAGTGTGTTTTGGTTAAGCAATTTCTTTTATGTCAGTGTGCCTGTTGTAGGATAAGACCATCAACAGAAAATTTACAGAATTCAAATTCAGGATGAATAAAATAGAGTATAGGTCTTGGAACAAGGGTCAAATCATGTGAGTAATATGTAAAACATTTTGGTTAGCCTGTAAATTTAAATTTTTTATTGGCTAAGTATTATAGTTCCCAATCCCTGAACATAATACAGTATATCATATAAATGACTTTCATAAATATTTTCAGGCCGTAGTAATTTTTCTGGACCTATTTTTGGAAGTGAAATATTTAGGAATATACAGTATATAGAATTAGGGGAATATTTCATTCAGAATTCTATTGTTGGTGAATTTAATTCTGGTATGATATGCTGTATTAATGTTACCTCCAGTAAATACCATTCCCTCCAGATTTAGCTATTACACTTTGGTGTTAGCTCTTGGTCAGTGTTTTAGAACAGTAGACATAGTCTGTGGTAAGGAATAGTCTTAATTGGTAAAAACTAAGATAGCTTAATTTGGAAGGAACTCTTAATAGTAATGGATTTGGGGATTTTTTAGGTTCCTTGGTTAATGTTTGTTTCTTTTGTCTGTTTCTTTTTCTTTCATTTCTACACATTCATGCAGTATTTCATGGTTCTATCAAAGCAGCAGTAAAAAAAATACTCTTGACGCATGAAAATTAACTGGTGAGGGGCCTCATTGCTATTTTTAAATTGTAGTTTTATTTTTAAATAGTCTTTTTTTAATCAGAGGATCAGATGCATGACTTTTTTTTTTTTAATGGATGCAGATCTTCTATCAGGTGTCTCACAATAAATTCAAGAGGATTTTAGTTTGCCAGAAATGTTGCAAATGCACTAATTTGAGTAAGATGTTGTTACTGAATATATCCTCTTGAGACATAATTTTGCATGCAAAATTATCCCATAATCTTTGTAGGTTTGTTAATATTGATGCATTACTGCCCTATATCTAAATGATCTTCTCCCCCTTCCCCTCCATAACTCTTGGTATCTAAATTGATGACAGCTCTGACACAAGCAAGATAACAGTGCTGTGTAGTATACATTTGTTTATATTATCGGCACTTCTCAGTATAGGTGGAAGGAACCATTACCTTTATTTAACAGTGGTTTTTCTTTTTTGTTGTTGTGTTTTACAGTTCTTTTCCCTGGTTCAGCCTGAACTATATACCAGGCCCTGCTGAAAATACCACCCAACAGTTTTCTTCTGCAGCTTATCCAGTTTCTCTTAAGTGCCCTGTACATATTGTATGTTTTATGATGAGATGCAGTTTCTTAATATGTATTACAGAAATACTACTGGTATTTGCAAATATGTAGTTTAATTGTATTATTGAACTCTCATTTTGGGGGCTTGGGCACATTAACAGATTAATCCATCTGTATAGGGCTTTTGCTGTTGGATAGAATTTAAATTGTCTACATAAATATTTGTTTTAGGACCCTTAGATTTTATCTGAATACACAGATTAGGCTTTAAAAACAGATATATATGTCATTTTTGGATTAAGGAGTTTGGCTAAGTTAGCTTTTCAACTGGCACTATATAGCAGCATTTTTTGGTATGGTTAGCGTGGCACATGGCGAAACATAAAGCATTTTACTGTACAGGTAAGGAATGTGCCATGTTGTTTTACCTATCTCTCTCTCTCTCTCACTCCCATGCACACATCCTGTGTGTATTCAGAGACCTTCAGAAACATTCATATTCATTTTCATGAGTCAGCAAAAGCCCTACGCTTGATTCCAACAGAATATTTCCTTTACATACTTTCTTCTCTTAATTTTTACAAAATTTGTATGGTAGGTGTAAAAGAAAATCATAGTAACTGTACCATATTATTAACCCCTAAATCAAACTTTTTTTGTCTTGTGTATCTTGATTTTTCTGTGTGCTTTATAGTGAAGCAGCCGACACGAGTCGTTGTTCATAAAACAGCTTTTGAAAGTTGAGAGCACACCCCTGGAGAACCGACTGTGCTTGCTTACGTTTGGTTCATGACTTAAAAATCGAGTACAGGTGATGAAATCTTGGCAGTGTTAACAAAAAAGTAGTGTGTATTGTGCTATTTTTTTTTTACTCTAGAAACTTAACCATTTGTAGAGAAAAAGGAAAAAATTTTCACACATTGAAGTTCATTCTGACATAAAATTAATGATAAATAATAGAAATCAAGCTTTGTATTTTAGCGAACATAAGTACTTTCAACAAACTCAGGTGGTGTATCAGGGAGACATTTTCTGGGTGTTTTTGTGTGTTTTCTGTCTTAGAAAAGAATGTGTTCTAATGCAAGGATGTTTCTCTGCAGGAGTTATTCCTGATGAAGCTAAGGCTTTGTCTCTGTTGGCACCAGCTAATGCAGTGGCAGGTCTTCTGCCTGGTGGTGGACTCCTGCCTACTCCTAACCCACTTACCCAGGTACTCGTTCTATTGAATTCTTAAAAGATGGGAAAAAATACAGAATTGTGGATAAAGCTAAACATATTTGAGCTTTGTAGGTACTCATGAGATTCTAGTTGAGATAGCATTATCACGTGTACAGTATTGTAAAAGGCTATATCGAAATCACAAATAGTATAGAGGATCTCTTACACTTTTGTATTTTAAGAACATTCTGAAAATCGTAAAATATCTGTTATATCACTTTTACCATTGGCTTTCAAAATAACGCTAAGTAGTTTTGGAACCGTCTCATGAGGCACGAACACTTCTCTGAACACACTGTTAAAAATGTGTTCATTTGGACCAGGAAAGAAAACTGAGGTTCAAATTTCACAAGTGAGCCCTTCGTGTTTTTTTTTTCCTTCCTCTTTATCTTTTCCTGTTACTTGAGGGGTTTTGAATTACGTATTTGGCTTGAAAACAAAGGCAATTCTTGATGGAGACGTTTGATATGGGAACATGAAAGAAAACTGGTTGCAATAATGTTTCTAACACTGACAATGCTGTAGGAAGCTTATCATTATAGAACTAAAAGACAGTTTAAATACGGTGTATTCTAATTAATGAGATTGTAACTGGTCAGTAGTTTCAAAGATTGTAGTGAATGATGAGCCTCAACTGGAAATTTATAAAAGCATTCTTTCTAGTATATCATTTTGCCTGTGTAAATAATTGACTAATTGACTCTTAACTGAAGTGAACTATAAAATGAAAGATTAGGAGTTCCTAAGCTTTTTGGGTGTGACTTTTATCACTTAACTCTGAGGGGTTTTTTTAACCTGTAAAATGAGGATCTGGGTAATTTTCTTTTTCTTTGTTTTTTTTTTTGGTTTTTGTGTTTTTGTTGGGTTTTTTGTTTGTTTGTTTTTGTTTTTTTGAGATGGACAGAGTCTCACCCTATCACCTAGGCTGGAGTGCAATGGCACAATGTTGGCTCACTGCAGTCTCCACCTCCCTGGTTCAAGCGATTCTGCCCCAGCCTCCCAAATAGCTGTGACTACAGGCGCGCCACCATGCCCAGCTAATTTTTGTATTTTTAGCAGGGGTGGGGTTTCACCATGTTGGCCAGGCTGGTCTTGAACTCTTGACCTCAAGTGATCTGCCCGCCTTGGCCTCCCAAAGTGCTGGGATTGCAGGCGTGAGCCACCGCGCCCAGTCCAAATCTGGGTAATTTTCTAAATTCCTTTAATGTATAAAGCTATGCAATAGCTATGTTGGACAGTAAGTTAAAGTAGTATTAACACAGCATTTTGCCTGTACTGAATAAACAGTTAAATTATAGAAAGTTTGATAGTTTGTATTTACTAAATAAATTGAAACAAGGAGAACTTGTAGCACAGTGTGAAGAAAGTGAGGCTGTTTCAAAAGCTACAGATGGTTTTAAAGCAGCCTCACTTTCCTGGTTTGTGTCTATTACATTATGCATTAATCAGAATTGTGTCAAGCAGGTTGCAGAACCCTGCAGTAATTTGAACAGGGAACATTTAAGGAATTACTAACTAGTGATAAGCGATTACTCGGGGAACTCTAATGAATACAGGAATCACAAGTATAAGAAACAACCACTACCTCTGAGGCTGAAGCAGAAGGAACACAAACCCATTTAGTTTAGGGGACTCCTCTTTCCCCATCTATGCTGAAATTTAGATTTGTTTTTGGAAGAATGACTAATAAAGAAGTTCTCTTGGGTACCCTGGGGAGCTGCATAAGGAGTTGATACTGAAACTCACTGAGAGGTGAAGGCTGCTGGGGTTTGACATGGTGGTACAGGAATGATCACGGGACACAGGAACCAGGAAGAGCCCCTTCCTTAGTGTCCTTCCAGCACTCTTTCCAAATGAAGTGTTATATCATGGCAGCTGTCAAAGGAGAAATGCTTTATAAAGGTCCTGCCTCCAGTATCACAAAACAGCAGGGCAAAGAATAGTAGATTTTGATCCTGAGAAGCAGTAAATAATTAAAATCAGCACAAGAATATGTTGAAATATTTTGTCATTTTGTCTTAATCTAGGATTTAGGGGGGAAATGTGTTGTAATGGATGGAGCATGGGTGTCATATAGAGCAAGACCTCTGTTTCTATTAATATTGTTATTGGACCGCAGCCTTTTGTGTAGTTATTGTCTCTGGCTGCTTTCAAGCTACAATAGCAGTAACCATATGGATTTGTGTACAACTGAGTAGTTGTACAGAGACCAGAGACCATGTAGCCTGAAAACTGAAGTTATCTGACGTTTTACATTAAAAAAGTATTAACCCCTGGTATAAGGAACTGAAATGAAGCTTTACATAAATAAAATTTGACATTTCACAGATTGGCGCTGTTCCACTGGCTGCTTTGGGGGCTCCTACTCTTGATCCTGCCCTTGCTGCACTTGGGCTTCCTGGAGCAAACTTGAACTCTCAGGTATAACTTAGTAACTTCAAGTTTTTCACCCCTTTTTACAGAAAATCTGTTTAACTGTTGGTTTGCATTTCAAGAGCAGGAGCTAATGGCTATATTGTAGTAATTTTTTTTCTTATTTAAACTTGTTAGAGCTTTAAACAGTCACTGAATGACTAACTCCTTATCCGTTCATGGATTTTTTTTTTTATATAGTTCAAAATAGAAAATAGGTTCACAAGAAGCCAATACGTTATCAGTGTGTCATACAGTCAGAGTAAATAGTCATGAAAAGATAGGAATGTGGTTTATAATTTTTCTATAATGGAAGTTTTTCTTTTATTGTAATTTAGCTAACCTTTGTTTCTGAAGTTCTTACTTTGTAGAGATCTTTTGTATTATATTGGCTAACCTGTTTTGAGTTTTACCTATTTCTTTATGTCAAAAAGTCTTAAAGGAGACAATTGTATAATATCAAGACTGTTCAGCCTCATAATCTTTATATAACTTGCTAAAGCTGCTCTATCCAATACTGTAGCTACTGATGTCACTGGTTTCTTTTTTTTTATTTTTTATTTTTTATTTTTCAATGTGGCTACTAAAAAAAATGTATGTTTCACGGCATTTAGTTTGCATGGATTTCTGTTGTTCAGTTTTCTGCCTACAGCATACTTGTAGGTTTGGCAGTTTGTCCCAGGGCATTTCAACATAACTCAGAAAATATTAGTTATTGTTTTATGTATTCTCATTGTTCTTATGTTTTATTTTTTGTAGTCTCTTGCTGCAGATCAGTTGCTGAAGCTTATGAGTACTGTTGATCCCAAGTAAGGGTTTTTTCTTTGTTTTCATTGGTGATGTGATATCTGAATGTCTACAGAACTAGAGTTTTTTTTTGATAGCTAATAAGAAAGTTATCAAGTTTTCTTTCTCAAGACAAGCAATATATATTGTTACCTAGAAACAAGGAGAGAAATACAGAAGTAAGTAAGCCCCTCTAAAATACTTTTAGTGTCATTTGAGTCTTGAATAGTAATTGTAAATGACTTATACCTGGATGATAGCAAAAGAACTATTAAGGGGACAACTGAGTTTGAAGATCAGAGGCTGAGTCCTGAAGATAGTAGGAGTTAGAGGTAAAGCTGAGGGAATCAGTATCCCAGAGCAAAGTAGTATTACATATTATATAATTAAGAGCCAACATTTTCTTTTAGTGCTTTTAATAAGTGCTCTTCATGCTGTCACAGAAATTGTTTCCGACTTGATAATGTGACAAATTCATCAGTTTTTTTCACTGGTTATTTCTTGGCATAGTAAATTTGAACTTTATACCTTTTCCCCTTAACTTGGTGAAAGCCCCTATCAGTAAGTGAGGGAGCATGGAAAGAAGGACAGAATCGTTCGACTTCAGTAGTCACTGGCCTTTTTTGTTAGAAATTATCTAAAAATAAAACCAAGCATGTACCCATCACCCAGCTTATAAAATAAAATAATACCAATACAGTTGAAGCTTCCTATGTACCCATTATTTAGTACATTTCCCATTCTGCCCACAAATAACTACTAAATTTGGTGTCTGTAATCTTTTGTTTTCTTTCTTTCTTTTTTTTTTTTTTGAGATAAGTCTCGCTCTGTTACCGAAGCTGGAGTGCAGTGGTGCAATCTCGGCTCACTGCAACCTCTGCCTCCTAGATTCAAGCAATTCTTCTGCCTCAGCCTCCCGAGTAGCTGGGACTACAGGCGCATGCCACCACGTCCGGCTAATTTTTTGTACTTTTAGTAGAGACGAGGTTGCACCGTGTTAGCCAGGATGATCTCGATCTCCTGACCTCATGATCCACCCGCCATGGCCTCCCAAAGTGCTGGGCTCACAGGTGTGAGCCACCGTGCCCGGCCTATAATATTTTTTTACATATGTTAACCTGTAAGGGGCATCTTTAACCTTTCCACTCAAGATCTCATATGTAATTTTGGTGGGCCATTGGTCTCTGCCTTAGTTCCTCCCCACCTACAGAGTAAAAGGTAATGTTCTTCCTCCGCAAAATTACTATGTCATAAATTTTATTTATTTATTTATTTTATTTTTGTTTTTGTAGACGGAATCTTGCTCTGTCCCCCAGGCTGGGGTGCAGTGGCGCAATCTCAGCTCACTGCAAGCTGCCTCCTGGGTTCAAGCGATTCTGCTGTCTCAGCCTCCCGAGTAGCTGGTACTACAGGCACCCGCCACCACGCCTGGCTAGTTTTTTGTATTTTGAGTAGAGATAGGGTGTCATCATGTTAGCCAGGATGATCTCGATCTTCTGACCTCATGATCCGCCCACCTGGGCCTCCCAAAGTGCTGGGATTACAGCCGTGAGCCACCACACCTGGCCAAAAATTTTTAATTTATATGAAAAAAAGTTCTTAGCGTCAGCATATTTTCTTGTACTGGCATTTCTAAAAATGTGTTTGTTTGTGGAAAGTTAATGGATGTTCAGCAAAGGTATTTTTCTAATTCCAGATGACTCTTAGTCATTAAAACAAATACTTGTAAATATTCAAAACAATGCTATACTATATGTAGTTTACCAAAGTTATCATGGAGTCCTCCCCTCTGTTTTTTTGAAGGAATATTTTGCTAAAATGGTATTGTATACTTATGTATTTGAAATGCTAGTATGCATTTTAAAATATTTCCGATACCATTTCTTGATTCTGTTTCAGGTTGAATCATGTAGCTGCTGGTCTCGTTTCACCAAGTCTAAAATCGGATACCTCTAGTAAAGAAATAGAGGAAGCAATGAAAAGAGTACGAGAAGCACAGTCCCTAATTTCTGCTGCTATAGAACCAGGTAAACAATGTTTATGCAATTTTGTTGTGTGATTCTTGGCAAAAATGACTTTCACATGTGGAATTGTGTGGAATGACACCCTAGTCGTTTAAAATGTTCTAAATTCTGATAAAAAGATTGAATAGTTGAGTGCCACTCAGACGTATTTGGAGACAGTTATGGTGATCACAGGAGTGCCAACTGTATCTAGAGGGTGAAGGGCCAACATGTTGCTAGATATGCTGCAACAAACAGGACAGCCTTCCACAGCAATGGTTAATCTAGTCCAAAAAATCAGTAGGATTATCTAATACTTGATATAATTATTTATGTTTATCTAAGTTGAGATAGCCTAATTTTAAATTTTTTCATTGATCAAGAGAACCTAGTGAAAATGCTTCTCTTTAAAGTGTTATTTCGTTAAAGAAAATTAGTTGTCTTCTTTGCAGATTGTCTTTTTGAGATTAAATGAATAGATACCATTATTATCTGCCCATATATATTTAGATCTATGGCCCTGGATTTTCTTTCTGATAAATATCTTATTCATTTAATAAATGGGAATGTTTTTTAATATGCCTAGTATTAGGAAAATAATTTTAAAGTATAATAGTGGATAAACTGATACCAAATGCTTTATATGTGTTATGTTATTTAACCAATAAAATGTCAAATAATTAGCCACAGTCACATGGCAAGCAGTAGGAGCTTTTAGATAGCACGGCCGGGTCTATGTAAAGTTTACTACACACCGTGTTCTAACTGCTGTTTTTATTGAAAACATATGACTAAAATGACTAAATGTAGTTTATGAACTGATGTTTTTACCAATATTTTTATGAATTTATTATTGATAATGACATTCATAATGTATTGAACCCTATTAATGACATGACTTAAATGTGAAAGAAACTCAATCTCACTTTGATGATAGTCAATGAATGTAGAATACAATGGCTTTATTTCTCTTGTTATGTCTCCAGTTAAGAAATTCCTTATGTGTAGTTGTAGGTCCCCTTTCTGTACTTACACAATTAAAGATTGGTAGGTAAGAGGAGTGATGAACAGATAATAGGAAGCGAGCTAGCTTACTAAAATCTGATTCTGTCACAGAAGCGTACTAAAATCAGTGAGTGAGTCATGACTTTCTGCATTTGAGGGCCAAATACTGAATCTGTGAAGAAGCAAGGAATGGAAAGGGGACCCCCTCATTTAGAACCTTGTCAAGAGTAAATTAGAGCCAAAGAATGAGAAATTTAGCCTTTTTATAGACTGCTTTACAGAAAACATTTCACAGCCTTTTAAGTCTGGCAAGTAAAATAGTCAAAGGAACCTTTAGCTAGCTGAGAACTAGAAGTCTAATTTGGATCTACCAAAAGCCTGGATGATTTATAATTTATAGTATTTCAGTAAGCGTCAAAATCATAGTTGTAAAATGGTTGCTTGTAACATTCAAGGGTTGTATGTAAAAACTGAAAACTAAGGTGAAAAATTATTAGAATAACTTCTGAAAGGGATTAATCTTCCTATTTGATATGATTTTTAGAGTCTCTGTTGCCGAGGCTGGAGTGCAGTGGTGCAATCACAGCTTACTGCACCCTCCATCTCCAGGCTCGAGCAATCCTCCCAGCTCAGCCTCCCCAGGTAGCTGGGATTACAGGCACACACCACCATGCCCAGCTAATTTTTGTATTTTTTGTAGAGATGAGGCCTCACTATATCGCCCAGGTTGGTCTTGAACTCCTGAACTGAAGTGCTGCTCCCACTTCAGCCTCTCAAAGTGCTGTGATTACAGGGATGAGCCACTGCGTCTGGCCCCTATTTAATGACTTCTAAATGCGAGTTCCTTTTCTTTTAAATATAGATAAGAAAGAAGAAAAAAGAAGGCATTCAAGATCAAGATCACGTTCTAGGAGGAGGAGGACTCCCTCATCTTCTAGACACAGGTTAGGTTGCTTTTTAGTCAGTTATACCTTAGACAAAGATAGCTTACATATGTCACATCTTTTTCAATTTGCTAACAATCTGTTAGCCTCTGGTTAAAGTGTTTTAGTAACCTCTGCTGTTAGAGTGTGTGAATGTCTGTTCACACATGTATAAAGTAAGAAAAGGTACAGACGAAATAGATGATGTATACTTTAAAACCCCAAAAAATTCAGAGGTGGTAGGAAAGCATTGGAACTTGAGCAACAAAATGAAAAATAATTGATTCATTGAATTATACAAGTTTCCAAATTACTGACTTGTATTTGTTACCTAGTATCAAAAAATGACATCTGATAATATCACCTTAGATCTCATCAGTAAAATGCAAGTACTAGGAATCTGGCATGCTCATAACAATGGAGTCATTTTCCAAAATTTAATTTTCTCAGATTTTTATTATTTGTAACAAACTCATCTGTTTTCCTTATATAATAGACTTCATTTATTTTTCAAAAAATTGTCTGCCAAATACACAAGTCTGAGTAATCAGTTTGTAGATTCTCAAAGGTAATAATGAAAAAGCAGTTAGTTCAGCTCATAACTCACACAGGTGTCTTCTTTAACATAGCCATTATACTTCGTAAGTATCAGAAGTGATTTATGCATACTTTCCATTTCATCACACAGAATATTTACTCAAGAGACTAGATTTAATTTTGCTACTATGTTAATAGTACTCAAAGGAGATTTAATAAAATTAACTTCTACTGCTTCATCAAAGACATCTTTATAAAAGTGACGTTATTTTTTTGTTTTACTACAAGTGCATACAGAAGTGCCAGTGAAGAAGATAGTGACTCCTAGGGCAGTTCAGTAGCCCCTACCTGGATTTGTGTTGAAGAGTTCAGTATTTCTACCCACTATGGCGTTTGTGACATTGTTGCAAACGTCAACACAGTGGAAAAGGCAATAATTTATTATTATTTTGAAAATAGTTTTGACTTTATGCACCCCATAAAAGGGTCTTAGAGCATCCACACTTGCGCAAACGACAACATGAAAGCCATTGCTCTAGGTTATTCACCAACTATTTCGGCCATTCTTTGATTTTCTTAGTTTCCAAACTCAATCCTAATTGGCCTAATTGCATTCTGGTTCTAGTCAGAACCTTTTAGGGTTGACATTCAGAACTAGAACATTCCAGTTGTGGTCAGTTACTTCAGCTAGTTTCAGCTTCACTTTACATACCCCTCCACCACTTGACTTTTTTTTTTTTTTGGAGACGGAGTCTCACTCTTGTTGCCCAGCCTGGAGTGCAATGGCACAATCTTGGCTCACCACAACCTCCGCCTACGGGTTCAAGCGATTCTCCTGCCTCAACCTCCCAAGTAGCTGGGATTACAGGTGTGTGCCACCACGCCCAGCTAATTTTGTATTTTTAGTAGAGACGGGGTTTTTCCATGTTGGTCAGGCTCATCTCAAACCCCCTACCTCAAGTGATCCGCCCGCCTTGGCCTCCCGAAGTGCTGGGATTACAGGCATGAGCCACCATGCCCAGCCAGTCACCACTTGACTCTTAAACCTTCACTCCTGGGTTCGTCTGTTCTGGAACCTAGTTCTGTCAGTTGTCTGCCTTTTCTTAGTTTCTGTTACCCCTTAGTTTTTACCAAGGATTAGATAAAATCATTTCTCCTAGTTACTGTCAGGATTTTTTAAAGAGCAGTGTGACTTGAATCCTAGACTTTGTCACATCTCTATTAAAAGCACTTACATCATAAAATATCTTAAAAGTCATATTTGTTCTGTCTCAGAGATGGCCTTTTCACTCTGTTTTTATTATCTTCTAATATCATTTTCTTATTTTAAGTCATTTCTTGGATTATTACAGGAATTATCTATCCTGTATGCTATGTTTATTCCCTGTCACCCACCTTATCCTAGTCTGTCTCATTCTCAGAGATATCTTTCAGAAACCCAAATATAGATCATGTCACAGATACTGAGAAGCTCCTTATTTCCTTGATAAGGTAATAGATAAAACCTTAGAATGGCTTTCAGGGTTCTTTAGTGTTCTGTCTGGTTTACTTTTTACACGTGTCATTTGCCACTCCAAAAGTTACAGGACTAATTGCCTCAACATACCATTTTCTTTATGTCTTCATGTTTTTGCTCATGATCCTTTCTGCCTAATGTTTTCCCACATCTTCCATTTCCGCCTTGAGGAGCTCCTTTTTCTTTCTTCAAGTTACAATCTTTGCAGTCTTAATCTTCCATGACAGTGCTCTCATAGTTTAGTTTAACCTCTGCAACAGGATGTACTTCATGATATGATTACTACGATTGATATGTGTTTCCTTTCCCTTTACCGAACTCTTATTAAAAAGGAGAGCCTGGGCCGGGTGCAGTGGCTCACGCCTGTAATCTCAGCACTTGGGGAGGCTGAGGTGGGTGGATCATGAGGTCAGGAGATTGAGACCAGCCTGGCCAACATAGCGAAACCCCATCTCTACTAAAAATTCAAAAATTAACTGGGAGTGGTGGCGTGCACGCCTGTAATCCCAGCTGCTTGGGAGGCTGAGGCAGGAGAATCGTTTGAACCCGGAAGGTGGGGATTGCAGTGAGCCAAGATTGCGCCACTGCACTCCAGCGTGGTGACAGCGAGACTCCGTCTTTAAAAAAAAGAAAGAACCTATGTCTTTTTCTTTATATTAAATCTTACTGGGACTCTCATTTTAATATTAATTACTTTACTATGACCAGTGAAAAGTAGAAGTGAAATGTATCCCTGAATCCAGATACTCGTGATACATCGTAACAGAGATCATTGTTGTGAGTTGTGGGAACCCCCACCACACACGCACGCACGTGCGCACACACACACACACACACACCCCAGCTCAAACCATCCTCCCACCTCAGTGTCCTGAGTAGCTGGGACTACAAGCATGCACCACCACACCTGGCTAATTTTTGCGCCTTTTTTGTTGTTGTTGTTAAGAGACAGGGTTTTGCCGTGTTGCCCAGGCTGGTCTCAAACTCCTGAGCTCGAGCTGTTCGCCCACCTCGGCCTCCCAAAGTGCTGGGGTGACAGATAGAAGCCACTGAGTCCAGCCCAGTTGTAATATCTTAACCATCATATCTTAGTGTGTTAAATGATCGTGACTTTCACAAGCTTTTTGACTTTATTAAATATATTTTACACTAATCTCTTTGGCTGGCCGTTAAAAGCTCATATGAACTAGTAAGTGTAGAAAAGTGACTCTGTAGTACGTTCCCCTTGAAAAACAACTATTTAATCTCTTAAGGTTATGATTCTGATATTTTATATGCCTCTGTTTCATTCAAAGTATATTATTGATGCCTTTTATTTAAATCAGGCAGTGTGGTAGTTGCTCAAGAATACAGTCATGAAAAGACTTACTTCCCATGTCTTTGTGGAGCCTATGGAAGGGTAGTTAAGTACATAAAAACATCTTAGGATGTGGAGATGTTGTTGCAAGGAATTGTTTAGTAAATAGTTCCAAATGTGGCTGAAAATGAAATATTAAAGTTGAGTTCAATAACTCAAATAGTTTATTGAGGCATTACTATGGGTTTTGAGGCAGTTGTTTTACGGAATTATGGCAACAGAAGCTATATTAGCACATCAGTAAGAGGAAGGAAGGACATCAATATTTAATGTACAGTCCCTCCGTATATGCAGGGGATTGGTTACAAATCCACCTATACCAGAATGCATGCATACTCAAGTCCTCTGGAGTCCACTTATAGGAAAAGTCAGTCCTTACTATACATGGGTTCCTCATCCTTAGAATACTGTTTTTAACCCACATTTGGTTGTGGCAAAAAAAAAAAGTGTGTAAGTGGACCCATGCCGTTAAAGCTCATGTTATTCAAGGGTCACTGGTGTGTCCCTACACTAAGGCACCGAGCTAGACTCTATCTTTGCCACCATTTGGTGATGGAGATGTTGACTGCTATTTGGTGATGGAGATGTTGACTGCTGAAGTAACCAGGTCAGAGAGGTTAGATAATACTCTTAAGTTACCTGGCTTATAAATGAGAGTTTAACACAAGTCTTTAAGATGTCCATACTCTCATACCTTGAAAAGTAGGCAGAAAATTTAGACTGTATTTGAAATGTTGCACAGAAAGAAGTTGAATGGTCAGTAAAAGTGATCAAGACTAAGCAAAGGACTGCAACTTATTTTTAATTTTTAAAATAGAAGAGAATAGGCTGGGTGTGGCGGTTAATGCCTATAATCCCAACTCTGGGAGGCCAAGGTGGGCTAGTGGCTTGAGCCCAGGAGTTCGAGACCATCCTGGGCAACATGGCAAAATCCCATTGCTTAAAAAAAAAAAGGGAGAATGAGTATTTTAATGCAGTAGGGGGGATGACAGTATCTGAAGGTTAAACGTGCTTCTTACGTCCTGAAAGAGCCAGGTCAGGACACAGTGGATGGGGGCTCGGTGTGGGGAGTAGAGAAACAGATATGTCAGGGAAAAAAGAGAGTAAAAGAGGCAGTTTATACAAATTGTATATATTTATAAAATGTCTGCATTGCCTGGAGTTTCTTAAATTGTGGATTAAAGGAGTGGAATTTGTTTAAGAGAAAAATTTGAAATAGGAGATGGCAACACAGTAAGTGGTTTCTCTTTATAAAATAGGAATAATAGTGGCATTTATGGACTAATGAGACCAATTTATAGTTTATATATAGTATAAGTATTTGATTTATGATAAGGTTTAAGCTGCAGTAGTGAGGAATCAAATAAGAAATACATGCTAAAATGCTATATAATTGTATAAGATGATGCAAATAAGTCATATTTTTATTCTCCTTCATGATCTAGTAGTAGTTTCAACCTTGGAGTTGTAAGTACAGTGGGCATAGAAGGACCTATCTGACAAGTTGAGCAAATCATTAAAAGGTGAGGAATTCCAAGTGTTAAAAGGTATTGCTAATTTCTAAGGTGTTGAAGGTGTTTGTTCTATGGGCTAAATAATAGCAACTGGAAGGGAATTATCCCCCATTTAATTGTTTAGTCCATATGTCTGAATCTTTTGTCTGATACTAAGCACAAAATTTATAGTCTTTTTACATTTATACGCATGTATTGGCTTCCTTTTACATTATTAGGCGGTCAAGAAGCAGATCGAGACGGCGGTCACATTCTAAGTCTAGGAGTCGGCGACGATCCAAAAGCCCAAGACGGAGAAGATCTCATTCCAGAGAGAGAGGTAGAAGGTCAAGGAGCACATCAAAAACAAGGTATAGCATTGGGTGAGAAAGCAAATTTTAGGGTTCCCAATATCGCCACTACTGTGCTACTTAGTAACAAAAGAGGTGGTTGGGGTGGGGGGCAAGGAAATAGGGCTAGACAGGGGAAGAAGCTGTCAATATTTGAGTTTAGGAGGCTGACATTTGTTTTTCTGGTGCTTCATTATAAACTGAAACTTCAGCTTATAGCTGAGGGCCTAAGTAAAATTTCTTAATAGTAGGAATTGTTAGCTGTCCTGCTACCTTCTTTCACAAGAAACACCTTAACGTTTTATTTCCATCTAAAAATACATTCAAAAACCAGTCTTTTTGTGTAGAGCCAAGCACTTTTAAATTAGTATGCCCCCAGTCATTTATAGTTGTGAGGCATACAGTTTCACAGCACTTAGGTTTTTAGCAACTGCTTTTTATCTCTTGCTAAAATATCTTAATTTTCTAGAAGCAACTATATTTGGCATTATTTTGTTCATTTATATATTTAGTTAAATCATGTCATTAAGTATATAGCTGGGGACACAACATAACTTACTCTTGGGAAGCATAAAACTCAACTGATGAGAACAAGAGTGGGGGTAGCTTTACTATCTTTGTTAAACCCTTATGTGCTACAGAGTGAATCAAACAAGGTCAATAGAACAGTTATACAATGGAATTAAGCATTTCTTGCAGGACTTTCTGATTGCTAGGAGAGGAGTGATGGATTTAGTTATAGGGGAGGAACTGTTAAATGATGATTGCTGCTTGCTGATGTTGGAAGAAGTTTGAGAATGACTCGAGTATTAAATTCTGAAAGATTTGACTAGACTTCAACGTGGGGCATGCTTTCAGGTCGAGAATGGTGTTTCTTGAAATAACAGTATTTTGGTGTAGTAGGACTAGAAAATGACGTCAGGAAAATATAATGAGACAGATCATGGAAGGCTTTGTTGTTCACACTATGCAGTTCATCCAGGAGGCAACTGGAATGGGTTGAAAATGGTGAACAGGGAATTAATACTTTCAGGTTTGTACTTTAAAAGATTCATGACAGAGTACAGAATCAGTTTATGGGAGGCATGACTGGAACCTACTAGGGGACTGTTCGAGTAATCCAGGAGTTAGATGATAAAGATTTGAATGAAGAGGGAACCAATGATAAAGACTGAATGAAGAGGGAACCGAGGATGACCAAAGAAGGGAAAAAAAATGAAATAGAGAATATAGAGTGGAAACATTAGCTTAGAACAGTAAGAGAGGGATACTTTGATTCCTAAAATTAGAGAATAAAGAGGGGGGTTATGAGACTTCTCATTCAACAAATATATATTATTTATCTACTCTTTGCTCAGCGTCTTGGGGAGAATGATGATCTTGGGGAAAAAATATTGTGAGGAGTAAAAATTTATAGGAATCTGTAAAAAAAAAAAAATTGAGTTATGGCTATAGTCACAATCTGTTAATGATATTTTTCTAATAAGCCCTGAATAGTTCATAATACATAGCAGCAGAAAAAGATAAAAGCTTGTTTGATCCATGATAGAGGTTGACAGGGGATATGTGTCTTGGAAGAATATTCATGATGTTGATGAATGATTTTGGTAGTGCTCTATGGGTTTTGGCCTGATAGGAGAGGTGGGTTGGGGAAGTGGTAATAAGCTGAGAGAAAAAGGAGTCTTGAGGAGACTAGAGACAGTTAACTTATTGGTGTTTACCAGACATATTTCAAGCCAACATCCTAGTTATTTTCTCACCCATCGTCTACTTCAGTCTACTCAGGAGAAAACCTAGGAAAATAGGATTTTAAAAGAAGTTACTGTACTTCAGATATGCCACATGAAGTATTATTTTTAAAACAGTTTCTGTCAGAATAACATTTATGCTTTTAAGAATGGGATTAGATCTGATTATATTCTTCTTGTGTATGTAGTGCTATATAAATTGGCATCAGCTGAGTCTTCTAATGCATTGATCAATTGTGTTCGTTTGTTAGAGACAAAAAGAAAGAAGACAAGGAAAAGAAACGTTCTAAAACACCACCAAAAAGTTACAGCACAGCCAGACGTTCTAGAAGTGCAAGCAGGTAAGGTGGCATTGTGAATTCTTGGCAATTATTTTTTAACTTTGCTTCTAACAGTATCAGTATGCTGTGAATATGAAGTCTTTTCCAGAACATAAGTATTTCAGTGTTGAAAAAAGTTACATTTTGCCGTTATTGAAGTTTTTAAAAGGCAATTTGTGAAGAATAATGTAGTTTATTTTTCTTTTTACTTAATATTTGTGGTCTAGAGTATATTTGAAGTAACATGGAATTCAACAGAGGTGAGTTTTTCTCTTTATAGTTTTAAGTTTTAATGGCTAAACCATACTAAATTGTTCCATTAAGAAAGTTTATTATAGTTAGCTATATTTATCATCTGCATGTTCGTACTTGATAATTTTTCTATCCCTTTTAATGATTGTTGAATTAATGGGAAGGTAATGCAGATTCTGGTTTGTGTCATTCTTAGACTAATTCTATCTTTAAGCTGTCAGTGAAAAATCAAATGTTGCAGACTTTCAATTGCACAAACTGCACGAAAAGCACATTTTCATCCTTAATTTGGGATTTGTATGATATTAATAAGGGCTAGACTTCATTCCATTTTTCAGATCTCATTCACATGTTTTGCTACAGTGCTTGTTTTATTCATCAACATTACTTAAATTCACTAGGAGGTTCATGCCATATAAAAAATTTAACTGAAATGTATAAAAGACCTAAATGTAAGAGCCAAAACTGTAAAACCTTCAGAAGAAAACAAAAGTGAATCTTTGAGACCATGAGCTTGGTGGTTTCCTAGATATGACTTCAAAAGCATAAGAAACAGAAGAAAAGACAAATTTTTGGAATTCACCAAAATTTAAAACATTTGTATTCCAAAGGATACTCTCAAGAAAGTAAAAACCTAAAGTGCTAGATAGAAAATACTTGCAAATTATATATCTGATAAGGAACTTAATATAGAATATATAAAGAACTCTTACCAACTCAGCAATAGAAAGGCAACCCAATTTAAAAATGGCAAAGAATCTGTAGCCATTTCTCCAAGGGAGATATGCAAATATCTAGTAAGTACATAAAATCTGTTCAACATTATTAGTCACCAAGGAAATGCAAACCAGACCACAGTGAGATACGTCACAGTCACCAGGATGGTTTTAAATCAGAAAGACAGATGATAGCCGAGCCTGACAGATGACAGTAAGTGTTGATTAGGATGTGGGGAAATTGGAACCCTGTGCATTGCTAGTATGAATATAGACTGATACAGGTGTTTTAGAAAGCAGTCTGGCATTTCCTAAAAATGTTAAACATAAGAGGTTTTTGATCCTCCAGTTGTACTCTTGGGGAAGAACGAAAACATGTTCACACAGAAACTTTTACGTGAATGTTTGTGACATTATTCGTAATAGCCAAAAAGTTAACTCAAATATCATTAACAAATGGATAAACAAAATGGTATATCTATATAGCTGAATATTTTTCAGCAATAAATAAGATTGATACATGCTACAGTATGGATGAAACTTGGAAACATCCATAAAAAGCCATGTATTGCGTGATTCCTTTTATATGAAATGCCCAGAATAGGCAAATCCATAAAGATACCAAGTAGATTACTGATTGCTGGGGAGATAGGGAGGATTGGAGTGATAGCTAAAGGTTAAGAAGTTTTTGGGGTGATGAAAATTGTCTTAAAAACTAAATTTTTAAGGATGAAAACGAAACCAAATATAAATACAGAAGGAAATGCTACATCAGGCCTGAGGGATAGGTGACAGATAGAAAAGATGGAAAGTACTACATGTATTTTCTTACCTTAAAAACTGTTGAGGCGTTTTTTTTTTTTTTTTTTTTAAACCTGTTGCTTTATATAATGTAAGTGCCTTCTCATGCTGTATTATTGGGTCGCTCTAAATTAAAGCATCTTCTGTGAGTTATTAAATACCCACTGTGTTTGTAGTCGTGCTACAGTCTATTGAGGGACATGGAAATGTAATATAAAATATTTCTTCCATCTAGAGAATTTGGAGTTTCAGTTACATAAGACAGTAGCAAAAAGTATAAGGTACACACTCCTGACAATGCTTGATAAGTGAATACTCAGTTATGTGGATTGTTTCCAGGACAAGGATCACAGAGGGCTATATAAGTAGAAAAAAAGCTTCATTTGGAAACTAGACAACTAAGTACAGGGTTTTTTTAAGTCTGATAACTTTTGAGAATCAAGAACAGAATTTTTTTTTAAGTCACAGTAAAAAGGAGGGGAAGGCTGTGTATCTTTAAAGTAATTGGTGAAAGCAGGGTTGTTGGGATACGGGGCGGGGGGCAATTTTGCTAGAGTATAGGGTTTCTACCTTTGCTCTAACTAGTTCTCTGAATTTCATCTAATGATTTAAAGGTGAATATGGGAATATTTTATTAGTAACTACCTTCTGTATCACATTATTGAATTATTCTGTACTTACTTTGAACACTGAATGTTTGAACCAAAAACTAACTTCTTCAGTAATAGTTTACTTCACACTTCACCCCTCTCGCATTAGTTTTGTTAAATCAGTTTTTTCTTAAGCTTACTATTTCTAACATTTTGTCAGCAGTTAAAAGAATTGCTAGAAATTAGGAGTTTTCTTGAGGGTAGTAAAGGGAAAGGTACATGGTTTGCAGATGTTTGTATTACTCATTTAATTGTTTAGCTCATACCAGTATTGTGAAACAATCATTTATCTGGTTTTTTTGTTTGTTTGTTTTTTGTTTTTTGAGACAGGGTCTCTCTCTCTCTTGCCCAGGCTGGAGTGCAGTGGCCCTATCACAAGTCACTCCAGCTTCAACCTCCCCAGGCTCAAGTGGTCTTGCTACCTCTGCCTCCTGAGTAGCTGGGACTTCAGGGATGCACCACCACACCTGGCTAATTTTTTTGTATTTTTTTATAGAGACAGTTTCACCATGTTGCCCAGGCTAGTCTGGAACTCCGGGGCTCAAGCAGTCCCCTCACCTCAGCCTGCCAAAGTGCTGGGATTACAGGCGTGAGCCACTACACCTGGCTGCATCTTTCATTGTTAGAACCATCTATGATGTGTCTGCATTTTTAAGATCACACTGTATTTTAAAACCTAGTTTACACATTTGTGGTTCTAGAGAGAGACGACGACGAAGGAGCAGGAGTGGAACAAGATCTCCTAAAAAGCCTCGGTCTCCTAAAAGAAAATTGTCTCGCTCACCATCCCCTAGGAGGTAAGAGTGTTAATCATTTAAAAATATTTTTGTATTTTTCAGAGGTTTTTCCTTTTAAAACTGTCCTGTAGTTTTTCTTTTCAGCAGTTACAGTTCCTAAGAATATTTTAATGTATTCTCTTTCTGACTTGTGACTTAAACACCATGAAGGATTGAACACTTTAGTCCTGTAACCAAGTTAGTTTTGTAGCCTATGTTACTTGTGTACTTTGATGGTCCAAGATTTTGAAGTTGGATCTTTGCTGTACTACTTACATCCTATGAAGTTGGGTCAGGCTTATCTAAACAAGTTAAACCTGTTGCTGCACGTTTTACTGTCATTCTAGACATAAAAAGGAGAAGAAGAAAGATAAAGACAAAGAAAGAAGTAGGGATGAAAGAGAACGATCAACAAGCAAGAAGAAGAAGAGTAAAGATAAGGAGAAGGACCGGGAAAGAAAATCAGAGAGTGATAAAGATGTAAAAGTATGTTTACAAATTGATTTATTTTTATATTTGGGTTGATGTTGGTACTTTCAGAAGTTATTTTTCTTTGGAGAAGTTTACTTGTATTATTCTCCTTGGCAAAGCAGGTTACACGGGATTATGATGAAGAAGAACAGGGGTATGACAGTGAGAAAGAGAAAAAGGAAGAGAAGAAACCAATAGAAACAGGTTCCCCTAAAACAAAGGAATGTTCTGTGGAAAAGGGAACTGGTGATTCACTAAGAGAATCCAAAGTGAATGGGGATGATCATCATGAAGAAGACATGGATATGAGTGACTGAATATTGCCTCTGTGGGAATCCAACTGTATACCTGCATCAGTGTCATTCCTTTGTGTGATTTCTTAATGCTGTATTTGTTCATCTCAAACCTAGATGTATACAGCTCTGAGTTATAAATGGTTATAAAGCTCCTGTTACTGATATTAGTTATTTACATCAAAAAGCTTTTAGAAAATGGTACGAGGTAACCAATTCTTGTCATGGTGAAATCTGATTGAGTAACCAAGCAGTTTTACTATTCTGGTGCTGCTTCATAACAAAAATGAAAAGCTGCATGCATCTACATACAGCAGGCATGGATTGTTTATGTCGTATGATCTCCTTTATTAAGTAAGTTCACTTATAGTATTTCTATAATTTGATTCATTACCGTAATAGGGCCATGTAGGAAATGCACTGATTGCATGTTATTGTGGCAAGAATATGCTAAATGTCATTAAAATCCTCCAACATGATGGATCTGCTTATGGTCTTGTTTGTTGACATGAGAAATTAACATTCTTATAGTTACATCTGGAAATGAGCATTTGAAATAGATAATCCTTTAAGCCTTGTGGCAAAATTTTTGTGGCTTTTATTTAACTTTGAAAGGTTATTATGCACTAACCTTTTTTGGTGGCTAATTAGGGTTTAAATACAGAAACAAGATTTCAAATAAAACTGTCTTTGGCAGTGAGTAAATAGCATATTTTGAAGTAGAGTTGTATACTTTTTCATACAATGTTTGGGAATTTTTTTTCCTGAAGTAATAATTTATTCCACATATACATCAGTGAAAGCTATCTACCTATCCTGAGTCCATCTTAAAGGGAAAAAAAAAAAAAACAACTTATCTCTTGCCTTTATTTTTAATTTTCCACTCTTTGATTAATTTGTTTTAAGCTCTGTGTTGGAAAAAAGGGGTAGTGCATTTTAAGTTGACCTTCATATGCTTTTAAAATAAGACAAATCTACTTGATAATGTACCTTTATTTGATCTCAAGTTGTATAAAACCAATAAATTTGTGTTACTGCAGTAGTAATCTTATGCACACGGTGATTTCATGTTATATATGCAAAGTAGTTAGGCAACTGTTTTCTTAGTTACAGAAGTGTCAGGCTTCACTTTTGTGCAGTAGAAACAAAAGTAGGCTACAGTCTGTGCCATGTTGATGTACAGTTTCTGAAATTGTTTTACAAGACTTTGATAATAAAACCCTTAAACTTACGTTCATGTTCCTGTAAAACCGTATTTGTATTTATTTACACTATTGAATGTATGACATTTACCTCATTCATTTTACAAATTATTTCCCTTTCTGTCCACATGTTTCCGTATAGTAAAAAGAGGAAGTCTATCACTGTAGTGATAATTGACATCAAAATTGTCAAAAATGATTTAATTTCTATCCAAAAGGGTCGTTTTCTTAGCTTAGTATCATTTTACTGCTTATTTTTTGTGTGAGAATGGGGTTGGATAAAGCAATGAACTTTAGTATAAACAAATCCCACCTATATCTAGCAAATTTATATTTTCAGTGAATATAGATATTTGCCTTTTCTGGAGTACTATAGAAGCTGTCAATGATATGTATTTACTGTACAGTACTAAATAGTGTATTCATTTATGAAATGAGTAGTGTTTGGGTGGATGGGGTTAAGGGAAAATGAGACTTGGAATTGTAGCTTTTATCCAAGTTTTGAGTATAAATAGAATTTTTTTTTTCAACCTAAAAACTGAAATGCCATATAGAAAAGCAGCATTGTTTTTATGGTTTGTAGTAACTTTTTAAAGATTTTATCAAAAGGAATTTTGTCTATAGTGAGTAAAAGTTCTAATAATGGTCCTAATCACTGCATTTTTAAAAAACAAAGTTGAACACAAATGACATTTGTTTTAAACTTCAGTAGATAAAAGGTGAACCATGTGACATGGCCATTTTTGTAAGACAAAAACAAATTTCACGTATGGTAAACCTAATACCATTTACAGTCTGCTCCCTCACTTGTAATCTCTGAATACAAATACACTAGCTTTTCTAAAGGGAATCATTTTTTTAAAAGTAGTGCCACTGACAAGATGCTGCAGTGAAGATTATCCATTCTTAGGATATTTATTTTCAGTGAACGTTTTCTGCACAAAGGTAGTGTTGCACTGGGACATAAGCCTTTTAACAGATAACCAGTTGAAATCAAACACTGCCTCCACACCGAGTTCTGTTCTGTATTTGATAGTAAATTGATTTAAAAATAAAAGTGGTTTTTGTTAGAAAAATGTTTTGTCCTTATTTATTTGCTTAAATTCTTTAGGAGTAAATGAGAGGTGGTAGCTATACAATGAGCTTTTTTAAATGGAAAGAGAGAGTCCAGTCATGCATTTGGTCTTTATTTCATAGAGCTGGGGCAGCTGTTCCTTACCTTCAGTTTCCTAGGGGTAAAATGGAAGTGATTGCTACCTTGTAAAGTACAGACATACCTTGGAGGTATTGTGGGTTTCGTTCCAGACTACTGCAATAAAGCAGGTCATGAATTTTTTTGGCTTCCCAGTGCATATAAAAGTTGTTGGCTGGGCACTATGACTCATGCCTGTAATCCCAACACTTTGGGAGGCCAAGGCAGGAGCGCTTGAGCCCAGGACCAGCCTAGGCAACATAGCAAGACCCTGTCTACAAAAAAAAAAAAAAAAAAATAGCCAGGTGTGGTGATGCACACCTGTAGTTCTAGCCACTGTGGAGGTTGAGGCAGGAGGATCACTTTGAACCCAAGGAGTTGGGGCTGCAGTGAACTATGATCATGCCACTGCACTCCTGCTTGGGTAACAGCAAGACCCCATCTGTATCTGTAAAACAGTAGTTTTTAAGATGTAGCCTTTGGTGCCTGGGACATTAAATAATAGCTGCTATTTGATTATGGGGCCCTTAAAAGTTGTGTAATTAATTTGTGCAGGGGATAATGTTAAAAGCACAAAATAAATTGCATACCTTTTATTGAAAAGGCTGTGTTGCCCTTAATGTTTTCATGAAGATGAATCTTAGGTAAGTTTCCTAGTGGTAATTCTATACATGGAAGATAGAAAAATGTAAATAGGCACTTGGGAAAAGAAATTAAAGGAGGTAGAGGATAAAAATTACTGTTAACCTTGGAGCTACATCTTAAAACAGTCAGGTTCTGGAGTGTGCATTGTGCAGCTTATGTCATAAAGATTACAGTATTATCAATACATCAAATTTATCTCTAGCAAAATTTATGACTTTCAGTTGGGCACTAGATGAAGGGTTGGATCCATGCATGCTGTTTGTAGATTGGTACACATCTTTTCAAATGGAATTGAGATTTCTTTTCCCTCAGTCTGCCTCAAAACCAACAAATGCATTTCATTCCTGTGCTGCTTGAACTATTTTTTCTAATCAAGTACATGTAGTTGTGGTTTAATTAAATATGGGTGTAATGGAATTGTTACTCGTACTTTTAAAAGCATTCAGAATGTCAAAGTTTTATTAGCAGAAATAGTAATTATACCTTTCTAAATTTCTCAATGAGACAATTTTGGAGTGGTAGATATTTCAAATTTCCACCTGTTTTACTCAGTTTTGTTTCTATTCTCATTTTCGTTTTATGTCAAAGTATATGTGAAATTTATTTAGACATTGTTAGCAAACAGGTGAGTACCATGACAATTGTTTTATCAGTGGGAATATTCCTTAGAATATACTTAAGGTTTATAGAAGATGGTTAGCAGTCGTGTGTGTGTGTGTGAGTGATGGAGTTTGATTCTGTCATGGTCGTCGCCAGGCTGGAGCGCAGTGGTGCAATCTTGGCTCACTGAAACCTCCGCCTCCCTGGTTCAAGCAACTCCCCTGCCTCAGCCTCCTGAGTAGCTGGGATTACAGGCATGCGCCACCATGCTCAGCTAATTTTTGTAATTTTACTAGACAGGATTTCACCATGTTGACTGGGATGGTCTCCGTCTCCTGACCTTGTGATCTGCCCACCTCGGCCTCCCAAAGTGCTGGGATTACAGGCATGAGCCACCGTGCCTGGCCAGTGTTTATCAGTCTTAAGACAATTTAGAGTCTGATACGACTAATATTTTTAGGTGACCAATAAAATGTTCTTACATAAATAATAGAAGTGACACATTCACATCATTCTCAGATTTCTCTATTTATTAAAGGTTATTTTTGCAATGCACTGTCACTAAAATTAGTACCATGATGTCTTTTTTAAGAAAAAGCTAGTTAGGGCTGGGTGCGGTGGCTCAGGCCTGCAATCCCAGCACTTTGGGAGGCTGAGGTGAGTGGATCCCTTGAAGTACGGAGTTCGAGACCATCCTGGCCAACATGGTGGTGAAACCATCTTAATAAAAATACGAAACCATCTCTACTAAAAATGCAAAATTAGCTGGGTGTGGTGGTGCATACCTGTAATCCCAGCTACTTGGGAGGCTGAGGCAGGAGAATCGCTTGAACTCAGGAGGCAGGCACTCCAGCCTGGGCAACAGAGCGAGACTCTATCTCAAAAAAAAAAAAAAAAAGGTTCATTTAAATGCCAAACTTTGGAAGACAAGCATCAAGTAGATTAAGAACATACTTATCTTTCCACAAAATTAATATATCAGTCAGGATTCAGAGAAGCAGAACCACTAGAAGATACACTTTTTAACAGAGATGTTACATCAACAATGGTGAGACCTGGTTAAGCAGTTTGTAAGGCTTCATCTTTGCATCTGATGCTGGAGGTTGAAGTTCATTTTAGGCAGTTGGAAAGCAAAGGTGAATGATTGTGGGAGGGATGGTGGCACTAGGAATAAGCTGGAACCAGCCACAAGCACAAGCTGGAACCACAAACATGGACTGAAACTCTGGTCAGATCTCACTGCTTCTGACCTTGGTGGCATGGATGTCCTTCCAAAGCCAGGACACTTCATCATGGAGCAAAATATAGCTGGCCGAGGAGTCTGAGAAGCTGAAGGAGGATCTGGGGACAGTGGAACAACTGCAGGCCCAACTGCTGCCTCATCCCAAAGGAGCAGCAGATAAGCAATGTGTGTAAGCTACAAAATTTGTTTCACTTCAGCCCTCCAAAACTCCTACGTTATCCATATTCATTAGTCATGCACTGCATAATGTTGCCTCGTTTTGGTCAACAATGGACTGCATATAGGATCGCGGTCTCATAAGATTATAATGGAGCTGAAAAATTCCTATCACCTAGTGACATCGTAGCCATTGTAACATCCTAGCCCAGTGAATTACGTGTTTCTGGTGATGCTGGTGTACACAAACATACTCTGCTGCCAGTTGTATAAAAGTATAGTACTTACAATTATGTACCATACATAATACTTGGTAATAAATTATTACTGGTTTATGTATTTACTATTTATTTTTGCAGTATGTGTGTTCTACTTATTACAAAAAAAAAAAAAAAGTTATCTGAAAAACAACCCCAGGCAGGTCCTGCAGAAGGTATTTCAGGAGGTATTGTCATCACAGCAGATGACGGCTGTATGCATGTTATTGCCCCTTAAGACCTTCTGGTGGGACAAGATGTGGAGGCGGAAGACAGTGACATTGATGATCCTGACCTGTGTAAGCCTAGCATAATGTGTGTTTTAGTTTTTTTTAAAAAAAAAGGCTAAAAAGGCCAGGTGCGGTGGCTCATATCTGTAATCCAAGCACTGGGAGGCAGAGGTGAGTGGATCACAAGATCAAGAGATCAAGACCATCCTGGCCAACATGGTGAAACCCCGTCTCTACTAAAAATACAAAAATTAGCTGGGCATGGTGGCATGTGCCTGTAGTCCCAGCTAGTCGGGAAGCTGAGGCAGAAGAATCACTTGAACCAGGGAGGCGGAGGTTGCGGTGAGCCGAGATCGTGCCACTGCACTCCAGTGACAGAGATTCCATCTCAAAAAAAAAAAAAGTGAAAAAGTAAAAATTTTATTAAATAGAAAAAAGCTCACAGAATAAGGATATGAAGAAAGAATATTTGTGGATAGCTGTACCATGTGTTTTAAGCGAAGTGTTATTGCAAGAGTCAGTTAAAAAATTTAAAGCGCTTTGGGAGGCCAAGGCGGGTGGATCACCTGAGGTCAGGAGTTCCAGACCAGCCTGACCAACAAGGTGAAAACCCGTCTGTACTAAAAATACAAAAATTAGCCGGGCTTGGTGACAGGCGCCTGTAGTCCCAGCTACTCGGGAGGCTAAGACAGGAGAATTGCTTGAACCCAGGAGGTGGAGGTTGCAGTGAGCAGAGATTGCGCCACTGCACTCCAGCCTGGGTGACAGAGAAAGAGTCCATCTCAAAAAAATATATATATAATAAATAAATAAACTTAAAAACTTATAAATTAAGTTATAGTAAGCTAATTTATTATTAAAAGAAATGTTAAAAATATATTTAGCATAGCTTAACTGTGTTTATGAAGTCCACAGGAGTGTAGAGTTATGTCCTAGGCCTTCACATTCACTCACTACTCTCTCACTGGCTCACCTAGAGCAATTTCCAGTCCTGCAAGTTCCATTTATGCTAAATGCCCTATGCAAGTATACCATTTTTTATCTTTCTATATCATATTCTGACTGTAGTTTTTCTATGTCTAGATACACAAATATATTATTATGTAAGTATAATTTGTGTAATACACAAATTGTGTTAGAATTGCCCACGGTGCTCAGTACAATAATATGCTGAACGGGCTTGTGGCCTCAGAGCAATAGGCTTTATCGTATAGTCTAGGTGAGTGGTAGGCTATACCACCTAGGTTTGTGTAAGTACACTCAATATGG